CCGTGCAAGGAAAGGGTCCCGGCACCGGGTCCGACCCTTCTGGTCCCTTTGTGGGGGTTAGGGGTAGGGGGGGGGGCAACATGGGGAGAGCCCCCTTCCTCCCACCCCCCTACAGACACACACCCTGTGCCAGGTGTTGGAGCACATCTGGTGGGGGAGGGAGAGGGGGGGTTCTGCCCATGGAATGAGAGAACACAGACAGTGGCACTACAACCCATGGGGGGGGTGGGGATTGGGGAGGGAGGAGGGTAAGGCCATGGGTCTCACTGTCCATGGGTCTGTCTGTCCATAGGTCCGTCCAGGGAGCTCACAGGGAAGGGTGGGGGAGTGGGATTCTGGTTATTTTTTGCCACCATCATTCACTATAGCTGGGAAATGAGATCCTCAGATGGGCACAGATGATGATGATCTTTTTTTTTTTTTTTTTTTTTTTTTATCTTCTTTAAAATGGGATGCGTTGGGTTTTTTCCTTAATAATTTTGCATTCGTTGTCTCTTCCCTGTGGTTAAATGAGATTTGGAGGGGCGGAGGAGGGGAGGGGGGCTCAACACAACAACAAGAGAAAGCTCGGCCGGGCCGGGATGGGGACAGGGATGGGACAGGGGTGTGCCCCAGGCCGGTGCCCATCGGGGGTACAGTCGGCATCGGGGTTGGGGGGGGTCTGGCGGCGTTTTCTTTTAACTGCTGCTCTCCTCCTCTGTTTTATTGAGCTTCTTCAGCGTGTCCAGCAGCTTCTGTGGGGTGAGGATGTGCGTGGACCCTGCGAGGCAGAGGGGGCCAAGGGGTCAGCGCTGTTGTTGTATTCCCCCCCACCCCCCAGCTCCATGCTCCGCTCCCCGTGGAGTCCCTGGTCCAATCCCATGCCAAGCGAGGTCTTACCTGGAAATGCTTGCAGAGAGATGGACACCCATGGGGGCTTGGAATGGGGAAAGGGAGGGGGTGGGAGGGATGAGGGGATGGATGGAGTTGGGGGGCGGTGGTGGGATGGGGGGAGGGATGATGAAGACCCTCCTGTCCCCTGCCCGCATGCAGTATATCCTGCTGAATGCCACCACAGGCACTGGGGGGGAAAGTGCACTGCAAGGGGGGCTCAGTGGGATGAGCATCCCTAGGTGGAAGGGGTTAAGAGAGGTTGGAGAGGAGGACAGGGGTGGGGGAGGTCCTGCCTGCTGCAGCCCCACTCCTTCATGGACACCACCCCCCCCCCATTCCTTCCCTGGGTGTCCCCATGTTCCCACTTTGCCTGGGGGCTGCACAGTGCTGGGACACGGAGCAGGACCTGACCAGCAGTCCCAGGCACAACGAGATGTCACTGTCCCCATATACCCCGCTGGGGACAACACACGATCCCAGCTCCTTCACGGGGCACAAAGAATCCAACAAACCCATCATTTCCTACAGAACCAAGAGCTCACACCCATCTCTCCCTGAGCACGAGGACACCGCTCCGCACCTCCCCGAGTGGGGGGAGCCCATCTGCACTATGGGGAGCACATGGCATGGAGGGGCTGCAGGGCCAGGCATGGCAGCGGTGAGAACTGCAAGCATTTTCTCATCCAAAAATCAAAATCATCAAAAGCAAAAACCCAAATTATAATGAAAGAACGGAAGAATCAAAGAAAGCCCTTCAGGGAGGAAGAGTTTCTTTTTTCGTTAGTTGGCTGCCTTTACTTGGTTGCTTGGGCTCACTCCATTGCTGGAGCCTGATCCTCAAATGAGACCCTAGTGGAGTCCCTGAAGTCGGGGTGCCTCAGGTCCATGAGAAATTTGGTGGGAGTGAGAATGTGAGTAGAACCTGCGGGAGAACAGAGTGGGCTGACGGCCCGGCTGTGCCCCAGGGGGAGCAGCATGCACCGGGCCGGGGGGCTCAGGTGTGGGCTTTGTTTTTGGGGTGCAGACAAGGGATGTGCTGCCCTCCCAGAGCACGCGGGGTCGGTCGCGGAGCGGTGTGGGATGAGATGGGTGAGATGTGGAAGGGGTTGGCACATGGATGGGGGCAACGAGGAGCTGCTCTCGCCTGGCCTGGCTCTGCCCTGTTCCCATTTAGGGTCTGGGGGGGCTGCCCCCGCCCATGGTCCTGCTGTGCTATGGTGTTGGATGCCTGAGCCATGGCTGTACCCACAGTGCTGGGCAAAGGGTGCTGGGAGGGCAGTGTATGTGCACTGCACATCCTGCATGCCCCATTGCTTGTGCAGCGCGTCTCATTGCACACACGGTGCATGCCCTGCTGTACTCGTGGTAGGTGCTGTGTTACACAGGTGTGCACAGCCTGCTGCACGTAGTGCGTGCCCAACTGCACACACAGCACACACCGTGGTTGGCGTGCCAGCTTGTACACCCATTTCACCTTGCAACAACCCCCACAACATCCACACAACAGCTCTTGCAACGGGGAGCAACTCAAGCTGCAAAACGCACCAGCTCTGCCCGTGCTTCAGGCAACAAAACTCACCAGGGAAATACAAACAGGGCAAAGAGAGGGGCAGCACGGGGTGGGGGGGGTGCCACCAGCAGGACCCCACTGCCCTGCTCACGTGTTCACCAGGAGGCCGATGCTGCAGGGTGAGAGTGGGATGAGCAGCGGGGAGCAGGGCCGGGCCCCCACTCACCTATTAGCACCTCCCACTTGCCACTGGCTTGCGTCACCTCATAGGCGCAGCGCATCTCGTTCATGCTCACCCCCCCCAGGATGAAGATGATGAGGCGGGGGCCGCTGCGGTACTCGCCTGGGGCCTTGTTCTTGTGCCAGTGGCCGTAGCGGGCACTAGAGATGGAGAGAGGGGTTAGGAAGGGAAACTGAGGCACAAGAGGCTCGTGGGTTCGTGTATAGGGGGTGATGCGTCACAGCCCCCCTGCTCATGGATGATGGCACCAGGGGGACCCACCTGACAGCTGTGGTGCTGAAGGAGGCGGAGGAGCGGGTGGAGATGTACGGGTAGTGCTTGGTGTCCAGCTTGTCCTCGATGGCATCCTGCAGGAATACGGCCCCATAGGGCTCAGCCTAGTGTCCCCATCCTCAGCCCTTGGTAGCCCTACCCCCCGGCCCCTGCAGCACTGACACTAAGCAGGCAAAGCCCCATTGGTGCAGTGGGGTTGGGTTCAGCTCTGATCTGGGAGCGAGCTTTGGGGAGGGCCTGGGCACAAACGAGGTAAATACATTTGTGCAGTTAAGAAGCTGGGGCAAGCAGGGGCTGGGCTGCAGTGACGTCCCACCAAAATATGGCCCTGGGGGTTGGTCTGTCTGTTGGTGTGAGCAGTTGGGAGATGCTGACACCACTGGAGTGTAGGTTCAGTGCCTGCAGAGCCCCAGCTTAGCCCCATGAGAATACTTTGATCCAAGAGGCACCCAAGGGGATGCAGCAAGGATGAAGAAGAGGCAATACATGCTTCGGCCATCCCAGTGGGTTGGGGCTTTGCATTGTGGGGATGCACAGGAGTTGTGCCAGCACTGTGCTCTGAGCACTGTGCAAACCTAGCTGGGACCGTGCAACATACATGTAGGACCAGGAACGCTTTCACAAACACCTCCACCTTGCTGCAATTACAACAAAACTGCAAGCACTGGCACTGCAGGGCACGTGCTGGGGATATGTGCCGGGATACGTGCCGGTCCCCCACCCCATCCCATCACCACCTCACCTCCATGATGTCCTTAATGACAGGGGTCCACCGGGACAGCTGGTAAGTCTGCTCGCTGATCCGCTCCTTCCGCTCCGGCTTGCTCCGGCGCCGCAGGGTGGACTGAGGACAGAGGGGATGGGGACACAGTGAGACACAGGGCCACTCCATAGGGATGTTTGCAGACTTGGGGGGTGGACACTCACGTCTGTGATGATGGGCACCCCGAGGTGGGCCATGTTGGTGATGATCTCGCTGTCCTCGGCTGGGATCTGGGCGTGCTGGATCAGCTTGTTCAGGTTCTCCTCAGTGATACCTGAATGAGAAATGGGTGAGCTCCATCTCCCTGGGACATACACCTCGGTGGC